TCGATCCAGATCCAGCGCACACGCCTTCCAATCTTCGCTCCATCCGCCTCAGCGCCTCGGTTATCTCTCTGGCCTCCCACTCATCCGTTTTCCGCAACTGCCATCCCCACCTCCACCCTAGGGCGTTGTTACGTGAGATCTGGCTGCTGTATCGGCAGCAGGAGCTGCGAAGACTGCAACAGCTCGTCTTTGCCGCCACCTCTTTAAGGGCTGTGCCATCCACGAAGGTACCCTTGTTCAGTAGCAGCAGTTGTTGTTGTTGTTGTTGTTGTTGTTGTTGTTGTTGTTGTTGTTGTTGTTGTTGTTGTTGTTGTTGTTGTTGTTGTTGTTGTTGTTGTTGTTGTCGCTGTGACATCAGGAGGAGCAGCAGCCAAGTTGTGAAGAGGTTGGCTGTTGTCTCATGTTCATTTCATGTTGATTACTTGTGCTTGCGCAGTGCGTATGTGCTCACACCATCCGTTGAACATGCACTTGCGTCTGATTTTGGTTTCGCAGACGGCGAAAGCCCTGCGCTTGGAGATGCAATCGTGCACACTTCACATCCCCGCCGTGCCCCAACTCTCCCTCCAGCCGCCATTTGGCATGGTACGCTCACCCTGCTCACGCACATACTTATGAAAATGTGTGTGCGCACATATGCACACACCATTCTCTCTCACCACTTGCTTCGTGTGCACGTGCTTTCTTCGTGTGCACATGCTTGTGTGCGTGCGTATTATCTTACTTCACACTTGCGCTTATGAACACATGCTTTGCCGGTGCCGCCTACAGGTACCGCTGCTGTTCAAATGCCTCTCGCCGCACCAAGTCATCTCCCTCGTCTTTCCGCGTGAGTTGCACACCACCGCACTCCAGCGCCCCTGCTGCTGCCTGTCCGTTAGTAACGCTCATGTGTCGTGACACGATTCACCCTGTGCATACGAACTGCAAACATACCCGTATTGCCACCCTCACCTGCGCTTTCTCGCTGTCTCCCCTGGGCTGCCTTGCAGTGCTGTGTGAGCGGAAAGTGCTGCTGGTCAGCAGTTCCCCGAATCTCTTGCACGCGTGTGCAGAGGCCCTCATCCAGCTCATCTTCCCCTTTGAATACACGCTCGTCTACATTCCCATCTTGCCAACGTGCGTGGTCCTTTTCCGTGCCATGTGTCTGTGTCGGTGTGTGTGTGTGTGTGTGTCGGTGTGTCTGTGTCTGTGTCGGTGTCGGTGTGAGTGTGTGTGTGTGCACGTGGATATTTGAGGGCACCCTGTCTTCTTGCAGTTTGCCCCAGTTCACCGCCAACCCTCCACCCTGCTGCTGCAGGTCTCTGCTTGAGTTCTGCGCGGCGCCAACACCGTATCTGATTGGCATCGATCGCTCCTCGTATCCGCTCGTCTCCCAACTCGACGACGTCATCATCGTACGGCTTCGTCGAGAGGGAGAGAGAGAGTGTGTGTGTGTGTGTGTGCGTTTGCGTGAGTGAGTGTGTGTATTTGCGTGAGTGTGTGTGTGTTTGCGTGAGTGAGTGTGTGTATTTGCGTGAGTGTGTGTGTGTTTGCGTGAGTGAGTGTGTGTATTTGCGTGAGTGTGTGTGCGTTTGCGTGAGTGAGTGTGTGTATTTGCGTGAGTGTGTGTGTGAGTGTGTGTGTGTGTGTGCGTGCGTGCGTGCGTGTGTGTGTGTGTGTGTGTGTGTGTGTGTGTGTGTGTGTGTGTGTGTGTGTTTTAATATTATGTGTGAGAGTGAGAGAGCAAGTTACAATGCGAATAGCCATCCACACTTTGTCCCCTCATTCCCCCCCCCACCGCTCCTTCATCCATGACCACCGCCAGTGCGACCTTGATCGGGGTGCTGTGACGGCGTCGGACGGGTCGCCGTTTGTGGCGGCGCAGCTCCCGGACACATCCGCGCTTCTCGCCGCCATCAAGCACGCCATCCACCCAGACCTCGCTGCCGTCGACGCAGTCATGCGTACGTGCTGGTCATGCACATGCAGGACCGTTTTGTGTCTGTCTGCCTGTCTGTCTGTCTGTGTCTGTGTGTGTATGACCATGTGTGCGAAGGTGTGTATTGAGGTTGAAACTCATGTCGTGCCAGATACTTCAACCCTGCTACCAACCATAGTGCTCATCCATTACTCTCTGTGTCCTACCCCTCTCCCTTGCCACTTCCTGCCCATCGTGCAATGGTTCGCAGCGCGGCAGCGAAAGAAATCTGAGAGCGACGCGTCGCCGCCGCTGCTTGCGCTCTATCCACAATTGCGACAGGAAATCGACATCCGCCTTGCCTTCCTCTCGTGCGTGTGACAGATGTTAACACAAGTCGCTCTGCCTCTTGTTGCTTGTTGGTGTTCGTTCCCTATTGTGCCTCGCCTGAAATTGAATCGCATCACCACCACTGCAACTGCAAATGCACGTTGCCTATGTGCTCACTCCACCTCCCTCCATCCCTCTCTCCATTCCATTCCCCTCTCTTCCTCTCTCTCTCTCTCCCCTCTTCTGTCCTTCCTCTTGTTACAGGTTCTTTGTTGAGCTGCTGCAGGACTACCGCCAGTACTTTGTGTCCGTTCGCGTCAATCCGGACCACGTCTCCCATCTGGACACCGGTGCCCTCTTCCACGCCCACTCGTGCGTATCAGCGCCACCAACTAGCTGTGTGTGTGTGTCTGTGTGTGTGTGTGTGTGTGTCTGTGTCTGTGTGTGTGCGTGTGTGTGTGTGTGCGTGTGTGTGTGTGTGCCTATTCTTGCTTATTTCTGCTTTCATCCCTGGCGCTTGAACGTGTGCAACACCCCCTCCCCCTCTGCATCACGCACATCACCACCACTACCACCACCACGTCAGGCTGGGCCGCCAGAACAGCAGCGGCGAAGATGCGAACACGGCATTCCTCCGGCTGTTTGTGAAGACGATGGCGTTCAACCAGCTCGTCAAGGCGCAGGTTGGCAGAATTGTACCACAACACTTTGCTTGCTCCTTCACAACATCACGCACGCACGCACGCACACACACGCACGCACGCACGCACACACGCACACATAGACGTACTTTCTTTCTTTCACGCAACAAACACACACGCGATTGCGTCAATGCAGACATCGCGTGCGTACCGGCCGACGCTGTTTGATCGGGCGGTGGACATGCGGACGTCGGATCCAAACGCCGCCATCACGACATCGCAGATTGTGCGCGAGCTCTCGGCTGCTGCAACAGTCACCGTACAGCTGCCACAGGCACAAGGTGGGCAAGGAAAGAGTGATGGGTGTTCATGAAGTGGATGGCGCGCTCACACATGCACACACACGCCAACACACGCCAACACACACACGCGCGCTTACACTCAAATATGCACGCACGAGCACACACGCATGTACACCCTGTCACCCTCACGCACTGTCTTCATCACTCGCATCCTCACATCTTCATGGCTGCCTGATTTGCCTCCCGCCCTTGGCACTCACCATTCACTCAGATGACAACACTATCAGTGCCGGCGACACGCTAGCATTGTGCGATGTCCTTCAGCCAGCACGGATTTCCGCGCTGTTCCCCACACGCGGTGATGACAACGGCGAAGATGCCGCTGGTCATGGCGCCCATCAAGAGGGCGAAGAAGGTGAAGACGATGACCAACAGGAACAGCAGCAGCAAGATGATGAGGATGAGGAGGACGCGCCCATCACACGCCATCGATTGCCCATGCGCCCCCAATCTGTCATGGTGCGCACTGACGCCTCCCTCTGTCTGTCTGTGTGTGTGTGTGTGTGTGTGTGTGTGTGTGTGTGTGTGTACACGCACATCGCGTTGGCCGCTGTTTCAATCCGTGTTTTGTTCCACTCACCCGCCTCCATGCTCGACACACACACACACACGTGCATGCATTTGAATGAGAAAACAGAAAGAACGCCCGCCAGAACTTCCGCGCGTGGTGCAGGCGTGCACGCGTGTGCTGAAGGTGCGATCATGTCATCACCACAGCCATCCATCCCACCATGCATTGTCAAGAAACACGAGTTTTTTTGTTTGCTTCTTTCCTGTTTCAAATCCTCTTGTACGCAAGCTGCACATCACACACATCACACACCACATATCACACCACAGGGCCCGGATGACGGGTTGGTGCAGTGGTACATCAAGTCCTTCCGCACGTTTCTCCAGAGTGTTCAGCAGGAGCAGGTTGCCTTCCACGTTGCACAGGAGCTGGCGGCAGCATTCAAAGCGGTGCGCTGCGACGTGGCGTGAGGCGTTGCGTGCTGCAAACGGATCGTGTTGCCGTTGTAGCTGTTGCTGTTTGAGCCGTTATATCAGTCGCTATTTAACCTGTTGGTGTTGAAGGACGGTGTTGCATGACGTTGGTAAATGTCTCACGTATGGCGACCACTGCTTGTATCGTTCGCACTGCACATTTGGTTGCCCTGCGAATCACTCCTTCGGCTCATCTCCTCTCACGCTGTCGTCTCGTGATGCCGCCAGTGGACCATGCCCGTGTCTGCGCTCAAGTTTGACATTGTTGTGAAGCTTGTCTCGGCTCTCCTCACACACGCGCCACCAGCAGCCACCGTCAGTCGTCACAGATTTGTTTTGCTTGGGGGTTTGTGCTTCGTTTGTTTGACAGTTGTGTGTTGTGCGATGCATGTGTGAACTGCGAACTTTCCGACTGCAACGAAACCATCACGAGCCTTTGTCATTGCTTCATTTCTTCGCTGATGTGCAATCAACCCCACTCGTGGGCGGTTCCACCCCCCCCCCTTGTCTGTGCTTCCTCAACACCACCACCACTACCAGGATGCAGTGCCAAAGCGGCCAATCGACCGAGTGGCGGTGGCGCTGCTGCCGCTCATCATGAACTGTTACACATCCGCACTTGATGTGTCCAAGCACGTGCACCACGAGGTGGCACTGCACGCTCTCTGGCAGGACATGTCCTTCTGGTTCAGCGCCCTCCTCCACACCGTCGAGCAGCACGTGTGTGTGTGTGTGTGTGTGTGTGTGTGTGTGTGTGTGTGTGTGTGTGTGTGTGTGTGTAGT